AGAGAAGCAAGCCGCCAGTGCAGGAGGAAGTGCGACAGTGAAGGCGGAGACTGCATCGACGGAAACGAGTTCCGCTGAGGCAAAGCCTGCCCCAGCAGCCACTACAGCAGTGGTAAACGATGAGAACAGCAACAGCAGCCAGCAGTTGCCGCCGGCAGCGACGTTCAACGACGTGAGCAACAGCAGCACCAACAGCAACAGCTGCGGCACGGCCAGCAGCAACCAGACCAGCAACAGCACCACCAACAGCAGCCACAGTAGCAGTGCAATTAGCAGTCAATCGGCGATCACTGTAGCAGCCCCATCAGCAGCACCAACAGAAGCAGCATCAACGACAGCCGCAGCGATTGCCAGCGATCAGCAGCAGGTGAGCAAGGTAGCTGCAGCTGCAGCCGCTGCTGCGGCTTTGAGCAATGCCAGTGCAGCGGCAGCAGCAGCTGCGGCGGCGGCAGCTGCTTCCGTTGGTCCGCCCACATCGTCGAGCGTGTCCGCCGGAGCAGCGGTCGCTCAACCAGCGGCACCTCCACCAACCAATGCAGGAACAACGACAGCCGTTGCGTAGTATACGACAATGATGCCAGCGTCCTACTACTGGCCACGAACCCCCCGAGGGGCAGTCGACTAAGCTGGAGTTCAATGGAAGAACAGCGGGCCCAGGAGCAACTCCGAAGTGCAAGAGCAGTAGATGATCCCTGAGGGGATCATAAATGTGGGGATGTAAATTTACTTAAGTATGGCGCCAAGGAGAAAGTCACGATGTGCGAGAACACGTGTCCGAACTCCACGGATACGTAAACGGGAACTCAGCAGGTGCAACGCCTGCAATGTATCTGCGATGGAATGGCTCACCTATCCATCACTGTAACAGTCAATACAATAACAACTGTATATTTTTTCACTCAAATCTTAAAAAATAGTAAATATGATAACTAAACCCTAAGCATTAAGAAATTGCAGCAGCAAAGTTATGATCATACGAAAAGGAAACTGTCGGGGCGAAAGCCGGAGCAGAACAACTGATACTAACCGATCGAGATATAGGATCGGGGATTATTATTGAGTCAAACGTGAAGATAACAAGCGGAAGATAACAAAGTTAAGAGCGAAATTCAAGCACACAGCATACTTATTGTACTAAATTTAATAAAAATGAAGGGACGAGAGAGGAGGAATAACTAACACATACATATGCATACGCACGCTATGGTTTATCGTATATTAAATATATATATAAATAAATGCATAAATTAACATTAAATTACATGAGAATGAATTGTGTATGTAAAAGGGATGAATGCATACATACGTACATCTAGACATTGATATATAAATACATAGAGGATAGTTTTTAAATTCTACCACTTACTAATACCTACATATTACCACAATGTGCAGCATAGGAACTCATAAACTGAACAAACTGAACAGCGAAAAACACGCGAAAATATTTAAAAGCATCCAACCCACACTGTGTGCAAACCCCACATAAGGCAGTTTATTGGATTCAATGTGGACTAGGGTGATGCAAAAGGACTAATCCTTAGAGACGACTAAAAACCATTGTACATACTTAACTATTATGTAAATTTCACTGTATTTTTGTTTTTGCGCAATGTTAGCAGGCACATGTAAGTGGCAGCACTGCATTTCGTATTATGTTTATGTGTATGATGTTGTATGGATGGTCTGCGAAAATTCCAACTTTTAGTTTTAATCGCATAACTCGGAGGCGAAACGAAACGAAATTAAGCGAAAGAAACAAGCAAAAACCGACAGATGAAGGCAAGCAAACAATTTAAATTAAAATCAAATTAGGTGATATAATATATAAAAATACATAACATATACATACATACTTAATATAAACAAAACATGAAAAATCGAAAAAATGAAACCCTAATGCTGTAATTTTATGTTAACTGTATTATTTGCTGGAAGTGCTGCTGCTTCGTTTTATTTTATATCGAACTTACTTAAGGCGTAAATGACAAGATAAATAATTAGGTTTTTATCGTAATCTTAAATTAAAATATAAAATAAATAAAACCAAGAAAACAACACAAAACAAAACGCAACTATAAAATGCTATAAAACACAAAGCGAAGCAAATCGAACTAAAGCTGTAGAGAAGCACGCAAAAACGACTAATAACACACATCCACACCCACACCCAAAATGCTTGGCGTTAGGAAACCAATAAACGAATAATGCAAATCCGTATATGGGTGGGTGCACCAATTTGTATACTAAACTTTCTCACACATAATTAACGTGCTACATAAGAGAGAACGAACATGAACTGTCTCCAGATTCTAGCTTCTTGCTCCAGAGGTGATCCTTCCGGTTTCCGGTGGCGATCCTCTAGGTCCACAGGAACTGCAAGACACTGGGAGATAATAGAAAAGTGCTGCTGTTGATACGTGTATTCGTGTAGTTGTTTGCAAACAAATATTATAACTCAGCATCTCGATATATAACGTGTAGTTATTAGTCTATAATTTGCTAGGATGTAAATGTATGTCCCTCAAACTTAATTTAATTATTTAATTAATATACATACATATATGATATACAACACAGCCTTTGTATTCTTCGTTTCTTATCGCGAATGGATTATGGAAAAATATTTTCAGGTATGGAAAGACTTTCATTTACATCTTTTCAGAGCAAAACAATCGGTCAGATTGATGAATACTATGGTAACTAAAGATACTGTGGATCTACGCGCTATAAAATATAAACTATATGGCTTATGTTCAGAGTGGGACATTTACGAGACGAATTGACTTGAAATACGCACTTGATCGCTTAAATACTACGAATGCCAAAAGTTTTAAAAAATGTAGTAACCAAAAATCCGTTTTCCTGTTATTGGCCTTGCCTTGATTCGGAAATTTCTGTGACCAGATTTGAAATTCGTGCTTATTTATATTGCCAATTTGCTTAAATTTAAAACTTCAAAGTACGTTATTATTCACGAAAGAAGAAGCTTTTTCCATTAGTTGGTTGCTAAATAGCATCTAACAGGTTTTATTATACCGTGGAATAAAGAATAAAAGGATTTTAATAGACATTTTCAGTAGGTCAATGTGAAATAAAGTGCATTGAAAATGCACAATTTGTTTTAATAAATTGTTAAATACAATACAATACATTTTAATTGAGTAAGAAACCTATTAAAGCAATTAAAGAAATATTTAAATTTATTACAACGGCATTAAATAAAAATTCGGTAAAAAGTGGTTAAGTACTGATATAAACGAATTTAATAACCCCTCAGGCGATTAGTCTTCAACAATCAAAATTCTGATTACAAAAATTATATACAGTTACTTATTCGAGATTAAAGTATTTTGGCAAGTTGGCAGCCCAATTTCTTCAGTCGATAGTTTCTCTCTCAATTTTCCATCCCTTAAATCTGGGCGAGAAGAAGAAGCACAGCCGGCTGTGCCATTTCTTGTAATTTTGCGGAGCGAATGGATTTTGTATTGCAATCCGTTGCAAGGACAGTATGCTCAAGCTGAAACTCGAAGCCCTGGGTCATCCCACTCCCAGCGATGTGGCGTTGAGCGGTAAGTGCCATAGTTTGCTGCTTGAAGGAGCTTTCAGTTATCTCTTTGTTCCCCTTCCGTTCCGCAGACCGCAAGGAATTTGCCAGCACAGTCCTCTGGGTGGAGGACCAGAAAATCCGGCTGTACACCATAGAGGATCGGGAGAAGCTGCGCAATATCGACAACCCCGCGATCTGGGAGGAGGGCTACTTGAGTTACTGTGCTGATTTGAACATGCCGCCTCTGGAGACGCAGCAGGAGCAGCTGGCTTGGATTCTCAGCCATGCCGTGCGCCTGGAGTTCCTCGATGATCCTGCCCAGTTCGCCTCGATCAACAGCAAACAGGGGCCACCCCAAAGCAATGGCAAGCAGGCCCAAAAGAGGGTCCAGTCCATTTTCGACGGAAAGATTAATAGTATGGTTTCATTTTAACTCAATTTACCATTTAACGAAATTTAACTTTAAGTATCACGGATTTATTAAGAGGTTCCAAAGACCCCTGATTTTGTTTCCATTTATAGCTCTTATACTATCAAAATTATTTCATTCTATTACCATTTGAATTTGTTAAATAGTTGTTAATAATATTGCTTATTGTGATTTGTCCAAATTTCTTTATTCCTGCACTTAGACTTAAAATGCATATTTAGTTGATACAAGTATTAATTCTTCCTTCTCGCCACCAGCTCAGGAAAAGGAGTTCGTTGATGCTGTCCGACTGCTGGCCAGCAAACTGAATGTGCCGCACCATCCAAACCACTTGTTGCAGCTGGAGGCAGTTGCTCGCGTGGTGCACGAACGACTGTCGCCCGCAGCCAAGGGTCGCAAGCCAGTTGTGGGCAAACCCTTCCCTTTCGATAAGGGAAACGACGTGGTCTCGTCCAACGATCCTGCCCTGGACCTGCCCATGCGCATCCTGCGCCTCCTCCAGATCCAGAGCCTGCGCGAGCTGCAGACACACATCAATGAGACAATTGTGGCTGTGCAAAACATCACGGCCAATCCAAAGACTGATACCAAGCTGGGGAAAGTGGGACGCTAGGCATTTAATAGTAAAGGAAGTTAATCGACACAATTACAGAGGCCTATATATACATTAGTAAATTTCTTGCTTCGTATGAAACAGAAACGGTCTAAACTTCATCTAATAAATATCCCTCAAAGCCAAGCAACAACATTTAGTAAAAAGCAATAGATAAAAACAAGAGCAAAGCTATGAACAAGCAAATACCCTTTTTTATTACTATAAAAATATCTCTAGACCTTTTAAACAAATATGTATTTATTTATGACCCTATGTTTTAAAAAGATGCAATATTATGTAGGCCTATGTAATTTATTGGTTTTAAATAAACCTCGTGGTCCCTATTTCTCATAAATTATTTGTTAACATTTACCAAGCCAACAGTTCAAAATCTGTAGGTTGACTAAATCCCATAAAATAAACAAGCCTTTGTTTTATATGCTTTTGAACAGATAGATTCTAAAATAAGAGCTACATTATCTTACTGCCAATGCGCTCATACAAAAGAATACATTATTCTTTTATAGTTAGCAATTATGCAATTATAATTAATAATAATCTATTTGAATTAACGCCTAGAAAAGAACTGATGATCCGTGCCAGTCTTTGAAGTCTTTGTTTCCTGTTCCGGTGGTTCCTCGGCGGTTGCCTTCAGGAAATTCGCGTCTGCCAGGCGGGCCACGCCCAGTAGTCCAACGGCTAGCGGCGGTGGAGGAGAAAGGAGTTACCATAAAACCGGATTAAAGTTGCCAAGTGGCTCACCTGCTGCCAACCCCTTCATAGTGTAATTCTCCAGGGGCTTTGAACGCCTCTTCTTGGACTGTGCCAAGAGGAAGGCACCGATGCCCAGGAGTCCAATGCCACTGACCAGACGACAGCCCAAGCAGTCCACCTCATTGGAAACGTTGTCCCTGTGCCAAAAAGAAAGTCTACCGATCATTTTTTAAGTTATTTCAAGATCAACAATTTAAGAATGAAGCAACAAAGCAGCGGCACTATCGATATACAAATTTTGACACAGGGCTGCCTACTTGGTTCAATTACTAAACTGTATTTGTTTATTTTGTTATTAAAAGGCCAGCAAAATACATATTCTCCTTATTTTCTAATAGAACTAGAAACCTATTAATAATATTTATGTTTACCATGCATTTAAAGCTTAAAAATATATTTAGCTTTTTTATAGATACTACATTTTTAAATGTGTACTTATCGATAGACGTGCACAACAGATGTTAAGTAGAAGCCGGCCTAAAATTGTTTAGATTTCGGTTACTATTCCTACAAAAATGGACTTTCAGCGAAACGATGCTATGCTAATGGAAATTCTTCAGGATCGGAAAACTATTACCGGATTCCTGGACTCCATTTTTGGCTTTCTGCGACGCAAGTAAAAGATTTTATCTCAAGATCCTCAACAAAAATGAATTCCTACTTCCCTTTTTAGCACCGACTTTTATCACACAAAACGCGATGAATCGGATAAAATAGGCTTCCCCAAAGGCGTCAGGGATCAGATTCTATATGGCGCCATGCAGCGCTACGATCCGGATTGCTTGCTCCAAGCCCTGACCGCGCAAGGCGGAGCAAATGATGGGGAAACGGCTCCGCCTGCCGCCGAAGAAGTGGTTCTGGAAAGCGAAGATGTTTCTCAGGACGAGGACATGAGTCCCATAGAGAGCGTAACGCCTCAAAAAGGGAAAGAACAGTCTAAGTTCTCGACCAGCGACTACAGAAACGGAGATGTGTTTGAAACTCACTGCTGGTCCCAAACGCTCAAGGACGTGGAAGTGCAGGTGCTGCTGCCCAAGGATCATCAAGCGGCAAAGAAGCTAGACATTTCAATTCAGGCCCAGCACATCAAAGTGAGCAGCAAGCCAAACCCAGAGACGGTAATACTCGAGGGAAACCTGAGCCAGCGGATTAAACACAACGAGGCGGTGTGGACAATTGACCAGAACCGATTGATCATCAGTTGCGGTGGGCAAATGCCTACGACATATCCATAAACCATTATTAATATATATTCTCCAACTGTAGATAAAGCAAAGGAGCTCTGGTGGGAGCGACTCTTCGACGGTGATCCAGAAATCGATGCCAAGAAGATTGAGTGCGAGCGCTATATCGATGATTTGCCGGTGGAAACCCAAGCCACCATAGAAAAGCTTAGGGTCCAGCAGTTGGCAGCAGACAACCAACAAAATCAAGTTCAGCCCTCGAATCCCGAACAAGCTAAAACCCTGGATCGCTTAAAAGCTGCCTGGGATGCCGAAGGTTCGCCGTTTAAAGGGCAGCCCTTTGATCCTTCTGTTGTAAGAATGAGTTAGATTTTATAGTAAGAAGCGAAGCTAGCAATAAAAGTAGTAATATCAATATGTCTGAACCATCCAGCGAACTTAATGTGAGAATATTTGTTTATGTTTCGTTCTGATTGGGAAACTGAATCAAATTGTTAGAAAAGTATAATTTAATACAAGCTCATGTCAACTTACAACTAAATCTTAGTGAATACATTTCGGTGGTTAAGTTCACTGGGCCTTCAGTTCGAGTTTCTTGCGCTGCAGTTGATTCTTCTGGTAGGCCACATCTTTTTGATCAGTGGACCAGGCCAGGTACATATAGGTGGTCAGGAGCACAGCCATGACTAGCCGATCCACGCTCATCACATTCGTGGCGAACAGGATGACGGACAGGCCCACAAATGAGGGATGCCTTACATGCGCGTACAAATTGCGCAATTTTCCGGATTTGTAGTTGATGGGTGGACCATAGGCCTTCAGATCATAATAGGCTTGCTTGACGCCCAGCAGCTCAGGCAGATCCATCACCAAACTGCCGCCAAAGATGACCACCCAGCAGATGCCATGGGTGATTACGAAGGTCCACCAAAGAGGAGCACTCTGCTCCACGTCGATTTGCCACAGAACAATCGACTGTGCGGGCAGCCAGTTGAGGATCAAATACTGAAATATCCAAAGATGCAGTTGGCAGCTATTTCTGTCCAAATTTTGGGTATACAAACGTGTAAACAAAGCGATGACGTCAGGCTATAAATAGTGCGCTCCGCTCCCGACAAGCCCAATTTGGCCAGCAGCTTCTTGACCAATGCTGACTTAAGGAAGCTGTGCTGGAAGATGAATCCGATCAGGTAGAGGGTATCGAACACTACGGGACCGTAGGCGGTCTGAAGGCGCGACTTGTTGTCCAGTAAGTTGAAAATCCAGGTGTGCGCCTTGGAAATCGAACGGGGAGTCGAGAGGAACATCATCAGGCTGCCCACCACGTACAGGGAGTAGGCGAATGTGGCCATGGACGCCAATAGCACTATGGACTTGGCAATCGATGCCATTTTTGTCAGACAAATGGAGCAAAACACTATTTACTACGAGAAAATCAAAACAAATTATGAGAACGTTTGGGTGAGCCAATCAGTGTGACCATGGCGCAGTCGCGGTAAAATCTCGGCTCACTAGTTCACATTTGGTTCGTTTCCACGCTATAAGTATTTTTCTAATATAGGTTTGTGTCTCGGATAAATAAACATCGCACGCCTTGCATGCGGTTTAAGTCATCGCTATGCGTCCATATTTAGGATATTTTGCGATAGCCGAGATTATTGCAATATGTCGCTACGGTCACTCTGTTTGTAAATGTTTCAATTTTCCCACTAACGAAAAAGTGTAAGTCCGCAGCCGAAAGGCATAAGAAAGTTGAGAATAAGTTTAAAAGTTGCAAGTAAGAACTAGTTTCATAGAGCGTATCTACGTCCAAGCAGAGTGTTGAAAAAAAGTGTCGACGCGACAACCCCACACACACACACACGCAAACAGGCGCAGCGCTCCGGCACACACATACACAAGTGGCTTGCAAATGGCGGATGCGTTTCCAACAAAAGAAAAGAAGAAGGAAAAAGAAAGAGTGCATTGTAAATGTGAAATGTTGTGAAAATTGTTGACGTTGCAAGTGACTTAAATCGGCAAAAACGCTCGTTAGAAATATATAGGAAGGTGGTAAGAAAGGGAGAGCGGTGTACGTGTGTGTGTGTGTAAGTGCAGTGCGACGCCCTTTTGTCTTGAGAGGAAAAAGGAAGCCACTACTTCATTTATCGGTGTGCAATTATTCAAGCTGTCAATTAGCAGGCGACACACTTTCACTGCTCCCCATTGCTTAATTATGAGCAAAATGGACAGCTGACTGCTTTGATTTGCCAAAAATCTCGGGCGCCGCCGTCTGGCCGGGCCCTAACCCCCCGCCCTCCCCTATTTGTGTTTCGCCTATTTTATCAAAGGAAAAGGCAAGAAAAGGCAATGAGCATAATTGATGCGCTGACCTCACCACACACACAAACATATGCGGGCTTATCAAAGGAGCGAGAGCGGAGCAGAGCTTAAAAGAGAGAGCGGGTAGAGTAGTGGAGAGCAAAGGAGAGCGGTTGCAGTCGTCCAATAAATCATAGACTCAAAAATCGTTCGTCATCGGGTAAAACCAAACCAATTGACAATCAACAATTGCTATCGTTGTCTACGTCAGCAATCAATAACCATTAACCGTCAGGTTTAGACAATATCAATTTGCCTATTTTTAGCCTTTATGAGTCACTCCACATTTTAGACCAACCTTCCATCTGTGAACCAAAAGAAAAAATTAGGGAAACGAACTTGGAACCTGACGCTCCCACGCAGGAATAACAAGAACACACGACACACCGCAAAAAAACATGCCTCGCTCTGTTTCCCACAGAGAAAAAATAAAACAGCATTGTTGCATAAATATTACGGGAGAAAAAGACGAAAAGTAGGGAGCAGTGCTTTCTAAAATTAAAACACTTGAGCCGCTGAAAATAGCAGGGGCAAAAAATGCATTTATGAATAAATAGATGAAAAATAATGAATGAGTGCGAGTACGCTCTCGCTGTCAGCGGCGACAAAGAGAGCGAGAAAAGCACTTGCACCGTTATCAGTGATGCTGCTGCTAATTCAAGCCGTTAAAAGTGTAATTTCAAGTTTCTCTGTGAAAGTGCTAGAAAATATATCATACGTATAGGGAGTCCGATATAATTTTTGATAGATCACAAGATATCAGCTTTAAAATTCCTTACTATGAAAATGTTGATTATGAACGTGATAAGAATCGAAACTAGATTGTGTAAACTGTTAAAAATAGATATGATCAGATATAATAGATACGTATGAAGTCTTGAATAAGTTCACTTAGCTTAGGGGAATAATTAACTCAACATACATATACTTTTGTTTTCCATTTCAAGAGATGTAGTCACATACTTGGCCCACTTTAAACAAGCTGCCTCAAGAAGGCCGAAAAATGGTCAACTGGGCATTTCTGGCCGGTGCTCACCAACAGGGGAGAAATTCCATGTGCCAGCTAGTGCGAGTGTGCGTGTGTGTGTGAGCAGGCAGCTAATTGAACACTGGGGCGCCGCGAAAGGAAAGGGGGAGGGAGGCAGGGAAGCAGCGGCACAGAAAGATAGAAGGAAAAACGGGAAAATTAGGCCAACTGTGCAGTTCGATGTCAGTTTGTCAGTTTGTCGGTTTGTCCGCTTGCCAGTTTGTCAGTTGGCTGTAACGAGGCCGACCAGCCAGCATGCTTTGCATGCTGTTCGACCATAATACATAATTATTTATAGATGGTCATAATGATAATTGGCAGCAAGATTTCGACTTTCACACACTCGTGTACACACATACACTCACAATGAAATGCTGGCAAGTCACACACACGCACACATGGGCGCTTTTCTTCCGGTTGATGACCTTTACCGGCGTTTTTATTGTGCTTTTTATTCTCTTTTGGGTTTGGCTCTCTTCTGCCGCCGCCGCTTCTGCTGCTTCCTCCTCCTCCGTTACGATACGCCCGGAATCCCAATCCGCAGTCCGGACTTTACTTACTTTCCGTTAAATGCCATCGATTTGTTTGACGGGAACCTGTTCCCATTCTGTCATTAAATGTTAATTTAGCTTTTCGGAGCGCAGGTACACGATGCTATTTCAGGCGTCCATCCATCCGTAGAATTCAATGT